GCTGGCTGAGGAACTCTAGGAGTTGAAGTCCACAAGTCTTAAAGTTGCCAAGGTTGGAGACCACTGATATAAAGGAACTGACCAGTCCCACCAGGATACTAAACTTGATTTTTTTATTTTATGGAAAAAAGGCGTTCAGCTATTATGTTCATTTTCAGTACATTCCAAGTTGTCATTAAGCTTCCACTGCTCAAAAGAATGTCAACTGAGACACTGGTTGAGCAGATATGAAGTGAGGTAACTTCTTGGTTTACTCACTTCAATTTCTGGCGAATTCATCAAAAACAAGTTCAGGATTGTTTGATTTTTTCTGTATCAGATTTGAACATCTTAGAATATATCACAGCTGTTGCCAATTCAAATTCTTGAGAAAGCATGTCCATATACAAAATAATTGCCATGATGAAATTATAATTGACTAGAATGCAAACTGGTAAAGTTATTCCTCACTCTTTCTTCTACCCCTTTAAATGCACAATAAAAACCTGGCAACCTTCCTCTCTGTGACTATATACACACATGCATTTGCTTTATTTTAAGTTAGGTTTTCCCAGCCCTGGAAGATGTAAATTGTGTGGAGTTCCATTCCAAGAATTACCCATGCTGGCTTGGGAATTCTGGGGCTGGAAATGCCTATGTTGTCAGGGTTTCAAGTAACACCCCTTGCCATGGAGGCCATCTTTTTCTTTGGATCTTTATGGCTGCTATATGTCTTAAAAGTTTCCAAGGTTTATTCTGGGAAGACAGACACATGCAAACCCCCCCCCCCCAAAAGACCCCCTGTAGTCTGTATTTGCAGACCAAGTCCAGGGGCATCTCTAGAAACAAAGTACTGTAGAACGTTTGGCAAAAGACTAGGTTCTCATTTATGCATTTTATTATTTTAATTCATGTTTGATTCGATACATTCTAGAATATATGAGGGGACGACAGAATTATGTTTACTATATCTTATCTCTGGGACTCTTAACTGGCCAAATGTTAGCAATTGGAAACCTTTTTCACTCAAGTGGATTTGTTTAAGAATTCTAAAACAGAACCAGCTTGCATACAAGAAACATCACATTGAAAAAATATCCCTTACAATACATGAAGAGAGAAAGGATCTGGGAATTACTGGATGTCCAGCAAACATAGCCTCTATGTCAGCTTCAGAGGCAATTTACACTCTACATGAATGAAGGTCCTTCAAATGGCTTTTTTGACCTAACTTGATTCAGCAACACAATATAAGGGGAAGTAACAAACCCAGAGCTATTGCAAAGCATGACAGAACAGTTTGGTTTTTTTGTACTTTCAAAAGTCCATTGGAATTGTGCAGCCCATGTCCTCATTGCTCAGGAAATTAATTAGATCTCTTGATATTTTAAGAATATCGCAGTAAAAAGCACACACACACACACACACAAATAAAAAAAGAGCTGGTGCTAATGAAGATGTCAAAATCCTGGATTTGCTGATATGCTGATTACAAAAAATTAAATCATTAATCTGGGGAACAAAAGGCAACTGGGTCCCTAATATCAAAGATTTTACATTGCCCAAGGCAAACTGGCCACATTCAACAATAAATCCAACCTCCTGAAAAAACAGGATGAAAAGAGGAGTGCATATTTATATCCGGCTCCTACAGGTTCACATTCTAAGCTTAAAGAGCAAAATGTGTACTTAATCAAATATTGAAAAATGATGACAAATGTCGAGTGTTTTGACCCCAAAGCTTATTGAAAACTAAATTAAGACACTTTGGCAAAACCACAGCCAACCTTTTCCTTTTTCCAGAATATATTTTTTTCTATGTCCATGTCCTGCCTACAGTCCTGGAACTTCATCATCATCTCTAAAATAAATATATTTGGTGCTGCTTAATATTTTTCAGCATCAGCCAGAATTAGTAAGTGCTACAATCTGTTGTGGTATTGAGAACTAAAAGACTTTCAAAAGAATCATCGGAATTATGCTTGAAGGCTGCCGCCTGCTAATACAAGTATCTACTATCTATCACTTTACTGCGAGCATGGAGGTTCGTTCTCCGAGCTTGTGGGTGGCTTCTGAACGTTTTGTTACCAGGCGAAGTAACATCTTCATTCATTTCTCCACAATGGCTATCTGAAAAAGTTTGTATTCTAACACACAGCTCCCATACCACAATGCGCCACACAGTCAACCACCATGCAAAAACTATCCCCTAAAGAAGTTACCTAGCCTGGTAACAAAATATTTGGAAAACAACCCACAAGCTTGGAGAACGAATGTCCACTGTCATCCTACACATGAGCTATAGATATTTGCCACTATCTCATGCCTTATTCTACTATAATGCTCTAAAGGCAAAGGGCTCAGTGGCTGGTGTTAAATATTAGTGTTCAACAGTTGGAATATTATGTCACCCTTTAAAAACTCCCTGATATAAAAATATCAAAAGTGTTAATTCCTATGCTATGCTATAATGGCACATGCAGGGACTTGCAATAAATGGAGTACTGCTCATGAATGCATATATTCATGGAGTCTAAAACAGTACAATTCAGTATGAGACTCACACTATAGGGACACTACTGGTGTATTTTATTAACTGGCAAGTGTGGGAATTTTAACAAATCACATTTGAATGCATTAAGTTGGAAAATGTCAATATAAGGCATAAGGTCTACAACATATCCAATCAATATTTTGTTACTGAAGAATCTGTATAATATAGAAGAAAAATCTGAGGACTATAGGACAAGATACAAAGCCAATGGTCTTCCAGATATTGTGGGATTCCACAATATCTCATCACAACTCTCATCAGGATCCATTCTCAAGTCCAACAACTATTCATAATGGAAAATGCAGTCCAATTTAATGGCCTGAGGTACCGTATCCGTCTATAGGACATTTTTGAAGTGTATTAATACATTGAAGTCCCTATCTTGAAAAACATCCTGCAACAAGAAACCAAAAGCACTGAGATGTGCCTAAGAATTTAAATCATAAGCAATCAAGTTAGTAATATAAAATCTTTGGATTCTGCCATTAATACTTTTGATTTTGTTTTTAAAAAATCCCCCAATACAGTAGACATGAAGAGGACTTTGAAATAAGGCAAAACTTGGTTCCCAGTTTGGTTTCCTTCCCATTAGGACATCATCTTTTTCTTGCATTCTACTGAGCAGAAAACCATTCCTTCCACCGGCATGAACTTCTGGCCAATCAGACACTTGCTGCAACAGGAGCACAGAAAGCACTCTGTGGTAGCATGCCAGTTGAAGTTGTTGTAACTCACACGTTGAACTTCAGGATCAATAGCATTGTGGCAGCCTTGGCAAACCTGAGGAGTAAAGAAAATCAACATTCATTTCTTTCAAAGCTTGGAAGGTAATGAAGACCAGAATATTCAACACAACACAACTGACTAGTTGAAATTAGTGATCTATGACACAAAAATGCCAATAATCTTATCACTTGTAGTGCGCTTAAATGCATATGCATTTTTAGCATATCAGTTCTTTCCCCTTGCAACGATACCCCCCTCATACCATGGGAAAGCCAAGGGAAATCATCAAAACCATAAAAAGGTGAAAGTTAGAATATTTTGGACATGTGATGCAGCACCTAGAAAAATACGGCATACTTAATCCTCCGAGGAAAGATTGAAGCAAATGAGATCCAGGCAGAAGAAGAACATTATGGCTTCAAATTCTAAGGGACTTGTTTGGACAAAACTCAACAACACTTTTTTTGTGTGGCTGTTGATAAAAATAGGATCGTCAACATGATCACCAACATCCGATAATGGATATGGCACAGGAAGAAGAGAGGTAATAGCTTAGAATCAAGCAAACAGATAAGAGTACCTATTAATTCAGAAGCTGGCTGCTTCCAGGATCCCTCTGAAAGGACAAGTTTGCATTAGCCTGGATTAATGGATATTACCTGTGGAACAGGCCATAGCTGAGAAATCCTTTGCTCAGTTTCAGTGGATATACCAGTTTCAGTCTTTCCTGGAATAGATCTAGTCATGGCACTCATACCCTTGTTAAAACTTGTTTCAAATAGTGCAATGGGCTCTACAGATGCTTGAAGACTCTCTGTAAGTAGAATGCAGCTGCCCACTTATCAATAACTCAAATCTAACTCTGCCACATTAGTTTGTTACTACTGTGTAGGAGTTGCACTGACAGCCAATTCAAGGTGCTGGATACAATCTTTAAAACCCTTTATAGCTTAGCACCCAATTCTCTTTGACACTACAGTTTTTACTCCAAGCAGAACTTGTCTATAATGTATGAAAACAAAGAAGGTATGCCATAAATTTTCTGCAGGAACAGGTTTGTCCATGGAGATGAAATTGGCTCCTTCCCTGAAGATATATATATGTAGGAAACTTATTCATAACTGGCTGTTTCCAAAAGTCTTTGAGCAATGAAATAATTTTCAGGTTAGAATGGTTACTTCCCTTTTCAAATTTTCATTCCTGTAGTCTGTATTAATTTTGATCTCTTTGCCTCCAACTTATTTTATAGTAGAGGAATTCTGTAAGCCACAATAGGATTGGGCTATTTCTCTATACACATGCATACCCTTTTCCATCCCTGCATATACAAGGTTTAGTTTGTGCTGTTCTTGGGATTCATTCATTGCTGGGGCTTTTAGGATGTTGCAGCATAGCTGACTCAAAGCAGTTCATTAAAGTCGAAATACAATCCACAAAATTGTAATACCATTTCTCTGAAAATAAGACCTCCTTGGATAATAAGCCCAATTGAGCTTTTGAGTGCAAGGCTAAAATAAGCCCTCCCTTAAAATATTTAACTGCATGCGCAGCTGGTCCCCGCAATTTCCTAGGGGAGGAGAAGGGGGGAACATACCCCAAACACCCTACATGTACCTGTCATCCACATGGAACGGCCTCGCAGAGGCCAATCCCACAAACCTTCGCTACTGTGCCCCTTCTCTTAGTGGCAGGGTTAACAAAGGTGTGCCAGAAAGAGACAGAACTTCTGACCCTCTCTGGATCAGCTGATTTGCGGGCCGAGGATAAGGGGCCTCCTGCAAAAATAGTAAGACCTCCCCAAAAATAAGGCCAAGCGCTTATTTCGGAGGTCAAAAGAAAATAAGACCTTATCTTATTTTCATGGAAACATGAGTATGAAAATAAATTTCACAATAATTGTATACTCATCAAGCTTAGATACCAGACCAAAAAGCAAAGATCTGAAGTCATCCTGCAAATTCAAAGTTCAAACAAAGCAATTCATCAACATGTATCTATCATATCTTATATTTCTATGATCAACTATCCTTCAAACCTGAACATTTATGTGCTAGACAGTGTTATTCTCTGATCTTCGTGTTTCTTTCACATGCCCACTTATTCTTGCTCTGAATTTGCTTTAAAGCAATACTAAATGTAACAATAGCTTGATTTGTCTCACTGAGATAAATTCTATTCAGGATTACGTTGTACATAGAGCAAACCTTTTTTGCTTATGGAAATAGCTGCTTTGCTCAGTTCTTCAAAGAAACTTTTCCTTGTGCAAAAGGGCATGCAATAATGATACAAAGTGAGCAACAGTGTGTTAAGAGCATAGGGTTTTCTTGGATGGGGCTGGAGATTTGGCTTCCCACCTTCCCATTTGAAGGATTATGCTACAATTTTTTTCTCATTTTTTATCTGGAAAAACTGTGTTGCTAATTTTCAGGAACTGTGTTCAGAGAGAGTTTTAGTGGCCACATAAGATCTTTGGAGTTCAACTTGCCTACCTTGTTTTGCATTTTTGTAGTATTTATTTACAGGTACTACCATACAGAACACAAGAGGTTCTCTTGATTTATATGTCATATTTCCTCCAGGAGCTTATGGGGTCTTACATGGGGATCTTCCTTCCTGGATTAAGAAAATAAATGCTCCAAAGTGTTTTCAAAGCTGAAAGCCACCTTAGGATCCAATCTTCCTCATCCTAGACCAGTCCCTTAACTACTATGCAACAACTCATGCTGTGTCAGATCAATGGTCCACAATCATCAATATTTGCCAATCAGCAGCTCTCATGGATTTCAGGCAGAAGTTTTTCCAACTCTATCTAGAAATTGAAATTGGAACTATCCAAGCAGTGGCGGATTAAGGCTCACTGGTGCCCTAAGCACCGACAAATCTTTGTGCCCCCCCCTCCTTTGGACATACTGTACAAATCTTTATTGTTTTTTCTTTCTTTCTCAACTTTGGGGTGCCACTTTGAGTCTGGTGCCTAAGCACGTACTTAGTCTGCTTAATGGTTAATACACCACTGTACCCAAGTGCAAAACACGTCCCTTACTACTGAGCCATAGCCCTCCTGATTTCAAAGTTGTGCTCAGAACATCATACAAGGACAGATATAAATTAATAATCATACTGCTGATGTTAGAACACGTACTCCATTTTATAATAGTCCAATCTTGTAGGCTGCAGGAGTAAATCTTGTATTTTTCTCATCCACACCCTTACAGTCTCCGAGCACTATGCCAGCCTTTCCACTGAATTTCTACCTAACCTACAATGATAATGTCTAATTGGGTGTCATTAGAGAAGATCCTGTAAACTGAAATGAAATGTGAACTTATCCAACATCTTTGTACAGAATTGAATAGGAAGGAATTGAAATATTTTAAAAGAGTGGCTTTGAAACTGACTCTCAACAGTTGCAGGCAATCTTGGAGGATAACATGAGTGGCTATCAAGAAATCTAAAAGGACCAGAAGGAGTACCCTTCTATATCAAACACCTGATATAGACAAACCACTAGTGCAATTTTTGCTTCATGCCCAGAATTCCCATTCTGAATCCCAAATGAAAAGGGCCCTGATAACTTTGACAAGCACCATCATTTTCTCAAAAATCTAAAAAGGAAGATTGGGAATCAGCTAGTAGTTGTTACATACTGTATTATCTTACTTACAGTATACCATAAAGATTTACAATGTATAAGATTGTATTCTCTCTTTTTTCTCTCTCCTGGAGAATGGCCTTTCAGGAACTACTCATGAGGTTTGTGAATGTCCATTTACACAGTAGTTGCAATATATATTCCAGGCAAAGCTAGACTTTCTTACCACAGCATGATTCTTCACATAACAGGGTTTGCAGGTGGGCTTTTCATTAACCATGACGTAGATTTCTCCAGCCAAGACACAGTCACAATCAAAGCAGCAGAAATGCTTCAGATGCCAGTTTTGACCTTCAGCTTGTGTATACTCATTGTTGAAAATAAGCTACAGGAAAGACAAAGTTACCAGGTTCACATTAATCTAGCTGCACAATTGTTTTCTCCTACCATAGCACATGAACTAAGACATGCTTCCTGCATGCCTTTGTGTGATATTAATTTGTTCTATTTAATAGATAGGATTTTTCAATTAAATTTCTCAGGTTTTTAAAAAAAAAACAGTGAAAATGACGAACAGCCACTCCCCTCATTTTAATTTCATTTAACAACAAATTATTTTTATAGAGCTGTACAAAACTGTAACTGTGGTTAATGCTAAAGATTTATGGGAATTGTTTTTTTTTGTTATAAAGTTTTTTTTTATTTTTTCATTTTCATAACATATAATCACATGTATACTATTACATTGTCAACATCATATTGTATTATTAAGTGTTTACATCAATTCATCTTACCATCAACTTCCAAAACTAATTATTGGCTCTTCTGTTCTCCACTCACCATATTTGTACCTTATCCATCACTTTCTTCTCCCTCTCTCCTCTCCCTCCCTCCTTTCTTCCCTCTGTCATCCTTCCCTTCTCAACTTCCCCTTCTTCTCTCATTCTCCTCTCTCCCCTTTCTACTCCTCCTTTCTCTCCTCCTCTCCCTCCCCCTTGGATTTGTAGGAATTGTTATACAATAATACAATACAATAGCAGAGTTGAAAGGGACCTTGGAGGTCTTCTAGTCCAACCCCTTGCCTAGGCAGGAAGCCCTATACCGTTTCAGACAAATGGCTATCCAACATCTTCTTAAAGACTTCCAGTGTTGGGGCATTCACAACTTCTGGAGGCAAGCTGTTCCACTGATTCATTGTTCTAACTGTCAGGAAATTTCTCCTCAGTTCTAAGTTGCTTCTCTCCTTGATTAGTTTCCACCCATTGCTTCTTGTTCTACCCTCAGGTGCCTTGGAGAATAGTTTGAATAGTTATGTGGCAATTGAATTGTCATGTGCAACTGATGCATTGAACTGATTTTACAGAATTTAATTCTCACTGAACTGGTACGCTAGGATAATTAATCGATGAGCCATACCATCTACATGGCAAAACAATATGTAACAGAAGAGAGAGACACACATCAGTCTGAAGTGACAAACAACTGGATTAAGTGTTATAACTAGGACAAAATCTATTTAAGAGTTTTCTGATTGTCTACAACTTCAAGTGGTTCTCAATTAAAAATAGTATTATATTGAGATAAGCTCAGAGATCCAGGGGCTTTTTAAAGGCCACTGTTCATAATGAATGCATCATAGTTGTGGAATTTATCTATGAAGTCTAATATGTCTAAGTAAACAGCCTTGGAAAACTGTTTACTTTTATTTTGGGTAAGATGATAAGAATTTATAGTTAACTTTACTTAAAATTGGTTTAAACCATTATATTGTAATAAACATCTTGACAAATTATCCATTGTTCAGTTTAAGTAAGCACAAAGGAATGCACATTAGGGCAAAATCCATAACTTCACACTCAGAACCAACAGGAAAAATATTCTTGGAGTATTTCAAGAAAAATGTCAACTCAGAATACAGCAATCTAGAGAAAAATATAATTCCATACTAGGATCCTTTAGAAAAACAGGCAAAAATAAAAATGAGACAGTTGTAGTCAATAAAGAAAGTTATTACATATTTGCATCTGAAATAGCATGCAATTTCTGGTCCTCACATTTTAAAAAGAGGACATAATAGAAATGGCAAAAATGCAGAAGAGGACTATCAACTCTATTGGGGTTTTAATACCTTCTTGTGAGAAATGGATTGACTATTTGGGAGTTTTGGGGGATGAACAGAATCTGATTGAGATGCATAAAGTAATATAAAGTACAGAGAAGTACTTCTCTTCAAATTGCATGACTAGGGTTTTCAGTTAAGCTGAATAGAAAGTTTAGATAAAAGAAAGCACATTTTTATGAAGTGCATAAATAACCTGTGGAATTCATTACCAGAGGACATGATAATGGCCATTACTTTGGATGTCTTTCAAAAGGGAGGGGATAAATTCATGGAGGTTAGATATATGAAGGGCTTTATCTGCTTATAAACACCACTCACAATGGAACAACTGGGGTAATATTTTCTGGCCACTGTGAAAGGAAAAATGCTGCAATAAAATGAACCTTGCCCTGATCCATGAGGACTATTCTATCAAGAATGTTCCTAAAGCATCTCCTAGACGATAGGTGATAGCGAACTGTTCTAATTCCCCTCCGTACGGTGAGTCACACCGACACAAGATTACTGCTAGACAATTTATTCACAGTAAATTAACACACTGACAAGACTTTGGCAGCAACCCAGACTTCACACAGATAAGAAATACACACCAGAGCTTTAGTATAATAGTTGAGCCCTGCAAAAAGCCTCCTCTCAAAGTCTCTTCTTATATACTCTCTTGGGAGGAGCTTAATCACAACCACCTGGGTCCAATTATCTCCTTTGTCTCCGTAATTGCTGCCGGCGCTTATCCACCCATCTCTGCTGGGCATCCAGGACCAATTCCCTCTGCACTTCCTCACTGCTCAAGGGCCTGACGTTTTCACCACTGCTCCAGGGCCTGACATCAGGAACATACTCCTTTTGGCTTTCACCGCTGCTCCATGCCTCAGGCGCCTCCTGGTGGCCAACCGCCTCTCTGGTCCCTGCTCGGAGTCTGAACCCTGTCCAGGGTCCTCCACATCTTCCAGAGCTGACTCATAGGGTCCCTTGCTATTGGAGTCTGTTGGCAGCTCCAACGGCTCCTACTGGGCCACAACAGCGAACCTATGGCACCCATGCCACAGATGGCATGTGAAGCCATTTGTTAGGAGATGCCAGGTATTGCCCTGTCAGCTCCCTTCAGCCTTCTTTTTTGGCTGTTTTTCGCCCTCTGAAGGCTTCCCTGAAGCCTCTGGAGGGCAAAAACGGTACTACGGGCAAACCGTAGGACCATTTTTTGCCCTCCAGTGCCTTCAGGAGGCCAACCAGTTAAATTATTTCAGGAGTTAAAGGAAATAATTTGCCACTGGAATTCAAAGTTGCATGGAGTTCTTTAACTTTTTTCTCCTTGTATAAAAAAAGACTTGACAAGGTTAAAAGCTAGAATTGCTAAGCATCACACTCAGATTCTGACCAGAGAGTATCTTTACAAGTGCTTGGCATTGGTGGCCAATCTTGGCAGATAGAAAACTGGGCAAAAGGGATTCTTGCCTCATTAGTTCTTTTAGGCACTAAAGAACAACCAGGAAGACTCTTGCTCACCTCATCACATCCAGCACAGCGAGGTTTTTCACTGTCACAGTAGTGTCGGCCACAATAGAGTTTTCCATTTTTCCAGAAATAGATCATATCTACCAGGAGTTCACTGCAGGTGCAGCAGACAAAGCAAGCAGGATGCCAGAGTTTGTCATATCCAGCCCGTTCAGCATACACAGCTGGGTCACCTTCCTTCATATTTTGATTGCACCTGAAACAGAACTGCAAAGAAACCACAAAAATCATACCGGGGAACTGAACGTGTGTGTGTGTGTGTGTGTGTGTGTGTGTGTGTGTACTTATGTATGATTTATTTATTTTGTAGGCAACCCATTCAGAACAGTTTTGAGCGGCAAGTAGATTAAAAGCACAAAAGTACAACAAGCAAAACATGAAAGGGAAAATATGTTCAAATTGGAAGATAACAGATACAGTAAGAGCTAAATAAACTATGGAGTCCTTGGTGCTCTCTGAGCTGGGTTGTTTTTTTGTAAATGTTTAATTAGCTGGCAAAGTAACATCTAGAAAAGAATGGGGTTTGGTTATATACAATAGATTGCTCTATCCGAGTTAGTAGGGAGTTCATTTCTCCTTGGCATTTCTTTGATTAGGGTGTTGCTCACTGCTTTTTTGTCATATATTAATCCTAATGTAAATGTCCGCCCATCTGGGTGTTAATTGCTGGTCTTTTTCGTTCCCTTTTTAGCCTCTTAGGTCTCTTTTAGACTCTTTTAATCTCGTTTGAATGATGTATAAATGTGATTTATCTCTATGTGCCTGTGGATGGCTGATTAGTCTAAGGACCAAGTTTCCAGAATTCCCTAGTGTTCTTAGATTTAATTTGGTCTAGAATCTCACAGTTTTCCAGTTGAAACTATGCTTGAAATTGTTCATGTGTAGTGAAATCAAGGAGTTTCCATCGTGTTTTCTGACCATTACTTAGTATTCATGGATGCACTCTTCTGCTTGTCTATCTTACGTTGTAGCTGTTAGAGTCTATGTTGTAGATCAGTGGTCTCCAACCTTGGCAACTTTAAGACTTGTGGACTTCAACTCCCAGAGCTGGCTGAGGAACTCTGGGAGTTGAAGTCCACAGGTCTTAAAGTTGCCAAGGTTGGAGACCACTGTTGTAGATGACTCCTGTTTTCCTTCTTGAACTATTGGGTACTTTGGTTTATGTTTATGTAAGATATTTGGAAAAATTGCTAGTCTCAAAAGCCTTAAAGGTGAATGGCTGGTTATGTGATGAACCTTCAGTTACTGAATAATTCATGATTTAGCATGGGATGGACATAGCTCGTATTTTATTTGAACAGATCTTTTAAATAAATGTGTAAATCAGCCTGAGATTTACAAGTTTTGTAACAGTTTGATCTCAGACATTAGAATATAGTTACCAGTAACAGACAAGAATATTACTGAAATAAATTTCATGGTATGGTGGCAAAGAAAAATTAGAACACAACCACTTTTTCATTATATGTGACAAAAACATACTATGTATGGACTATAAACTGGTATTTTGTATGTGATGGGCACAAGTCCCTGAAACAGTTGAGGATGTTCCTTCCAGGAAACTTTTGTTGCCTAAAGTTGAGCACACTTTCAAACAAAGGCCCTAAGACCAGTGTTTCTCAACTTTTGCTGACTAGAGAATTCTGGGAGTTGAAGTCCACATATCTTAAAGTTGTCAAGGCTGAGAAACATTACACTAGGCTACAACCATTTAATTTTTTAAGAAGCCTTATGACATTTACATGGGATCCTAAAGCATTCTTGGGGGAAAAAAAGATGCTTGGGGGCAACATACCACTGTCATTTAAAAGATGGAATAGGAAGTTTGGAAGGTATCCAAAGGTGTCAATAAATAAACTGGTGATGCATCATAGTGATAACCCCAAATTATTTAAAAGGCTAGAGTTAAATAGTTATTTCTGTCTCTGAGTGTGAGAATAATTCATGACTTTAACAACGTGAGTTTAACTAAGTAGAACACTCAGTTTGGATTTCAGAAAATGATAATATATTTAAGTTAGGAAGCAGATATTTGAACTCTGCTTTTTATGGCCACTCTGGAGAAAGAGAAAAGTGTCCAAATCTCAGGTTACCAAAGTTTCAACATATTTCTCCCCCACCTCAGCCAGAAAGTCTCCCGATGAACATCGATAAACGGAGTGGGGGGGGGAACGTGCATCTGTGTCTGTATAGCACACTGGCTTTCTAGTGTATCTGTTTTCCTGACTCATTGAAAGAAACAATGAGGAAGTTGTAAATTCAATTTTAAAGTGGAACCAAAGCACCTTCTTTTTAAATTAAGTGGGGAAAAAGGAAACAAGATTGGCTTTCTTTTGTTGGTTCCCATTCAATGGTCAGTTTCCCTCTCCCCCTCTAGGGAGATTTGTTTTCCTGCAGGGTTCTTAGTTTTCCTCTTGAAAAACATTTAAAAAGGAATAATACAGCACATGGGGAACTAATGGCTCTCATCTAAATATAGTTCGCTCACCAGCAAAAGACAAAATATTGATCTCTATGCAGATCTCCAGTTGGGCATGTTATATTAATATTATTGTAAGAGCTCTGCATGGTTGAACTGCTTTCTGTTACTGCCCAGAAGATATTCCAGTTATGAAGTGGATATTTTGGTTCAGCTTTTGAAATATATTTTTAATTGTGGCTGTCTAATATACGGTGACTTCCCCTAAAGATATTTAAGCAAATCCTGCACTGCTACATCTCAGTTACTTGTTAAAAGAAAGATTCTTGTACTAAGCATGGGGTTGGCCTAAATGATCTCTAGAGAAATTTTTTAACATTAAAGTCTAACCAGCAATAAAAATTGTCAGATTCTATGGATCCCTCTCCCATCAGTCATGATCAATCCTGGTCACCATAGGCTTTTATTTTTGTTCTACCAATTCTAGTTTGCAGAAAACCCCCTTAAAGCAATAGCATTTAAAAGGATAAGATTTTATCCAAGCAAAATCTTGCATTTCTTTTTTAAAAAGAGGCAAAGTTATAATACATTAAGCTGCAAATACAGGAAGCACATTATGAGAGAATAAACCTCCAAATAATTTATTTTCTTTGATCCGCTGTTTCGACATGCACACACTCACATACACACGCATCACCCACTTACATATTGAGTTCCCTTCTGACCAGCCTGTTTGCCTTCCATGGCTCCTACGGTAGTGGAGGTTCCCTTCTCGCCATTACTCAGGATATCCTTCTCCCCGGCTTTCCCTTCCACTTCGCTGGGAAGCTTAACATCACCCACGCCCAGCGCTTCGGTCTTGTATTTCTTCACAAACTGCTCCATCTGCTTCACCTCATTAGGTGTCAGCTCGTGGCATTTGGAAGGGTCCTGATCGTGAGCAGGCAGCTGCTTGGCCAACTGTTTCTTGCGGTACTGAGCCCCTTCCGAGCCAGCCACGGGCTGTTTCTCCTTTGGAAGCATCTGCATGTAGTGCCTCGCCTAAAGAGTGAGGAGAGAGGGCTAGAATTAATGGTCCATGGGATTCCAGCTTTCTAAACAAAAAAAAAAGGAAAGGAGATTAGGAGTGCTCTGTAGAAATTGCTCATCTTCAGGGGAAACAGAGAACAAGGTGTACATGATGGAGCTGCTGAGTCACTTGGAACAACAAGTCAGAATTTAGATTTAAAGTTATAAAAGTGTGGCTTTCCTCCACTGCCACTCAGCGCTAGCACTGCATAATTTTAGCTGTATTGGTTAGCTTTTATCCTAACTATGATTTGCTATTGGTCTAACAACAGAAAGATTATTTTCTCCCAACAGAAAAAGGATTTTCCTAATGGCAAAATATAACAAATCTGACAAATATCTTCCCAAAGTTTCTCAAATAATCCCTAAAACCTAGCCCTTTAAGGTTTACAAGTGCTTCTGTTTTAGATCACCCAGAATGACATTGTATAAACTTAGGACTGAAGCACTAAAAGTAAAAAAAAAGAAAAATCCCAACAAGGCTATCCAACTACCTCATCTAGAGGAATAGTATAATAAACCAAAGGGAGCTTTTTCTTTTGGTTGACAATACTGAATTTAGTCTGACCATATACAGTAACAGAAATGTGCATGCTTGAGTGTTATTCCACAGCCTTTAAGTGATGACATAGGTTCATGGGGTTTTTTCTCAGTGTGGTGTCCCATTTCAGGATGTCATTTTAAAATGGTTCATTTGGGGGATTCATAAATCATCTTAAGTGCCTGGGATGCCTCCAATGTAATACTTACTTCTAACTATGAACACAAACTCACGTCCCCTTCCTTCTTAGTCTCACTCAAACACCATTATTTTTCTTATGTCCATGCTGCAAAACAATTGCACTCGGCTGCTTGAAGAGAAACGTGCACAGGAAAACCAGGAAACTAAATTCCTCTTATTTGCATATTCAATCATGAATTATAGCTGAGACAATTATGTCATTTGCATATTGCATTCCTTATATATACTTGCTGCCTGCCAAAAGAGACTCTTCCTGACTTGCTTGTCTCCTCCCAACTCCACCATAAGCAGAAAGGATAATTATTCCTCACTAACATATGAATCTTTATGATCCTAAGCTGATATCTCACCAAGGTTTGATTCTGAACAGGAGGTGCCCATTCGTAAGTTACTGTATTGATGGACACATTCTTCTTGGCTGTCACAGGATTAGTCAGTATCATTACATTACGCTTATACATGGGAATACCATCGGATTTCAGCTTTGCAATTAGAGTAGTATACTTTGTATCCTCAAAGAGCTTTCCCACTTTGCGGTCATCTTCATTACTGGTGGGAATATCATGTTCCTCTTGGCCACACTTGCAATTTCGACATATTTTTCTAGGTTCAAAAGAGAAGCATAATTTAGGCAACATAGATACATGAGAATAGAACTAGTCTTGTAGAACTTATTCAGCCCAGCAGATTCCCAATTTACTTTAATTCTAGCACTGAAGATTTTATCTAGCTGGATAATGAAATGTCTGCAAGAAAACAACCAAGCTCAGAGAGCACTCAGGACTCCATAGTTCACCCCTGAATTACATATATTTCTTCTATGGGCATTTAATAATCTTGAGAAGGAGTTTTAAGTAGCATCCAAATGTCGGAACGTGCCCTTATGGGATGTAGCATGAGTTGGTTATTTGTTCTGTTGTTAATAAATAGCAAAGAGGAGGGGGGCAGTGGGTTAAACTGGATTTTAAATTTGTGAATTGAACAGTTATATAAACCTGTTAAAGAAATAAAGTTATATATAGGCAAGAATGAAACAACATTTGATGTTTGTTGTTCTTTAATTTAAAACTACCAATTTTATTGTATTTTCTCTATATTTAGTTTTTATAATATACTTAACTGATTTTTGTTTCAATTTACAATTTTTAAACTATAGGTTTTCCTTCTAAATTATATTTAAATACAAAAGAGTATATACACTGTTTCCCAATTTACATCCAAACCAATAGGAAAGTAATGGTTACATTTCAGAAAAAATTAAAATGAACTGACTGTGTTGCTAATAATTTTAATTTAGGTCACTACCTTCCAAGGCAAAGACATAACAGAACTATTCAAAACTACTGATTCTGAGATTAAATTGTTATCATTCATTTGAGAACAGCATCCCTTTCAATAACGATAGGCACACAACACTGGAATATGGATCTGCCTCTGCTTTCTGCTTGTGGTCACTCCACAATGTTTTCCTTGATCACTTTAACCAATCTGATCCGATGGTTATATTTTTATGTTTTTATTATTAACTGCAATTTGGAGTCTCTTTTACACAACACAAATCTCCCCAGATTTCTGAAAATGCTCAAGAATATAAAGATTTTATTCACATCCTACTTTCTACAATGTGAGCAGCAACCAAGATCTCAAAATCTGAAAACACTGAAGTACAGTTCCAGGCCATATATGGTCCTGGAATACTAAATTGGACACCTTATCCTAAAATAAATGTAATGATGACAATTATGCAGAGTTAAGGCCTTTTACATCATTGGACACATAGCAGTAATTTAAATTCCTCAACTGGTATGTTAGGAATTTTCCTTATAACTAAATGAAGAATTCTGGTTTTTTCCCCCCTCACTTATAGAATTTATTAAAAACTGTAACAAGTGTTATACTCCCACCTAGTGGAAAAATATGAAACTGTAGGTTTTAAAGCAAATCCTCTGTGTGTGTGCGCGCGCGTGCGTGTGCACGTCTGTGTTGCGCGCATTCCCCCTCTCTTCTCTCCTCTTCCTCCCTTCTCCCTCTCCCTCTCTCCACGTTTCTATATATAATTTTACCTCCAGAAGTGTAGTTCAAATCCTTCACATTTATCTTTACATTTTAAACATTGGGCTCCAAATCCTTCTTCATGTCCTAAGCCCATCTAAAGTGAGAGAAGCAGAGAAGAGGAAAAACAGTATTAGCATAATAGCGGTATTATTTTAAGGCTTTTACTGGTGGGGCAAAAAGTGGCATACTTCCAAAGTAAAATAAAAAAAAAACATGCCACTTTGGCATTGCAATGAAATAAATCATGCTGCAGTGCTTTATTTGGGTATCCATAAAAGATTATAATCATGATAAAGAAGTTAAAATGGAGAAAAAATATACAACACATTTTTCTGATACCGGATGCTGGTATGTACATATGCAACTGACACTTTTCCATTAAAGGCTAGATTTCAGAAGAATGAATATCCGTTAATGGTCTGTGTGCACATTTAAGCATACCATGTTCAATATATTTAATGTACAACTAATCTGATATTCAATACCTGAAAGAGTCAAAGCAGAGCATAATCTGTAGTACAAACTAGATTAAAAACAGGAATTTGAGCACAACAATGTATTCTTGAAATAGTGGTAAGGGAGTTTTGAGCAATATCTTCTTACATAAATAGTCATTGTTGTCAGCCATTCAGTTGTGTCCCCCCTCGGCCAATGTATGGATCAATACTCACCATGCATGTCCCTCTGCCTCACATTATCTCTTTCAGATCCATCATCCTTTATAGCAGGAGTGTCAAACTCAAGGCCCGAGGGCTGGATTCGGCCCACAAGGTGCTTAGATCTGGCCCATGAGGCCACCATGGAAACAGTGAAGGACTGGCCCACGGTGCTTCTGCCAGTGAGCTCTGTTTTTGCTGGCAGAGGGTTGCAGGAGGCCGTCACAGCTGAAAACGGAGCTTAGGAACCCATTTTCGCTGACAGAGTGCTCAGGCCCCCATGGGCGCCCCCCAATACAAGTGACATCACGATGGCCCCACACTGGCCATGCACCATCCCCTGAGGTCAAACACAATCCTGATTTGGTCCTCAATGAAATCTAGTTTGACACCCCTGCTTTATAATGTCCAGCCAACAGGCAGTAGGGCAGCCACTTTTCCTTTCCATTCTCTGTCCATCGGCTCGTCACAAGAGGCCATCCAGACAGAAAGCCCAATATTTTTACTGTTGCCTTTTTACATTTGTGTTGTGTGTGTGTGTGTGTATAGATAGATAGATAGATAGATAGATAGATAGATAGATAGATAGATAGATAGATAGATAGATAGATAGATAGATA